TTTTATACTTTTGAAAACATCTGTTAACATAATTATAGCTTGTTATTCTTAATATGGTACAAAATTCATCTTCATCTTTGTATTTCTTCTGCTAAAAATAAAAAAGCCCATTTATTCTATAGTTGTTTTGTTAATTTTTTGATTTATCAGTGTTATTATATGTTATATCAGAGCCATTAAAGGGCATTAGTCAACCCTCTGTTATTTATGAACTTGGTGAAAGAGTAGTTAGACTCTACAGTTAGTTCAGAATGTTCTTTTATCCAATAGTTTCTGCTTTGCTTTATATGAACCTTTTTTAAAGTATCAGTTCTTATACAGAGAAACATTAATTATCAAAATTATTTTATCCACTATAGGGCTATTATAGCTTTCATATTAGTATTTTTATGAACTCCTGAGTGTGTGAATGAGTGGATCTCTAGTTCTTGTGACTTCTCCTGGGGCTATTTTCCTTCTGTTGGTTTGCCTTGTCCAATTGTTTTATTATATTTTAGTTTATGTTTGATTGATATCTCCTAGCAACCGTTCTTTTCTAGTGAAAGACTGAAAAGGAGTGGATCCAGTCAGAGGGGAGGTGGTGAGGCACTGGAAGGAGTAGAGGGAAACTGTAATCAGGATAGAGTGTATGAGAAAAGAATCTATCTTTAGCAAAAGGGGTGGGAAGAACCATAGACTAATGGGAAGGAGGATAGATTTGGCTAAGAATTTATCATGCTGTGAGAAGATGAGCAGTGGAGGATAGTAACAAAACGAAGATATTTATCCCATAACAGCTGCACTCAAGAAATGAGGATATCAAGTTCACCAAAGTTTGGATTTGGACAAACAAGCACCTACTGACCATCTCAGAAGCACACATCCCCTTTTTCTTGTTACAAGAAAATGGTTAACATTCTGGCCTTCCTTGGTGTCCGTGCTCGCCTCTCTTAAAAAAAAAAGTTTCAGTCACCATTGCTAGTGTTGAAGTTAAGTGGAAATTGAGCACGGGGTATTTTTAATTTTATGACTGGCAAAAACTGATAACTTGAAATTATAGTAAAGCTTTTCAGAAATCCATTTTCCTTGGCTGAACTGTTCTTTGTCAGTCACTTCTTCCTCCCACCCTAAATCCCACCCCAGTCTGTGACAGGTCTAATACTTACAAGTGACTAGAATTCTTCTGTATTCCTGTGAGAAAATAAATGTTCAAAGAAGAAAAAAGGAAACAATGATACTTACATACAATGGGATGCACAGGTGGCTCTGGGACCCCATCTGGTGTAGCATGAATAATAAAAACACAGAGACAGATATGGGGGTACAACCTGTGTTGTACCCGTATCACATAGAACCCCAAAACAAGACCACCACAGAGCCAGGATCCGATGCATTGTAATCCAACACACTAGCACAACAGGTAGAGGAAAACAGCCCCTAGCCCTCAGAGTAAGGGGTTTTTAAAGGGAAAAACTGCAAGCAGGGTAGCACAAACCTTGGTGTTTCAGGATTGGGTAAAGGCATACAACCTTTGAATTCGTTGGTTGTGGTATGGGGAATTTCAAAACAGTGGCTATAAGCAGACAAGAATTTTAAAACATTGATTAATCAGATAGCTACAAGGATGTTTGAAGCAAGCAGATGTTGTTTGGATACCCTATTGGGGTCACTTTGACCAGGGCAGGCACTGTTTCTTGGAAATGTTTATGACTGCTGGGGCTGCATTCACTCCTCAGTTAGGCCCTGTCTAAAATGGAATTCTTTCTCAAAATGGAGTTTGTTCTGCTCCTTCACCTGAAGATAAGAAAAGCAAAGCAGCCAACCACTAGAGAGCCATTTTACCTCTACCAAGTCTTCAGACCAAAGGGACAGGATCTTGTCTCCATGAATTCTCAAATTCTACACCACACTGAGTTCCTGTCTCTTCCCCTTTATATTCCTCTTTCCGCCCAGCAATTTTACTCCTGTCTCCACCTCCCTAGTGTTGGCATTAAAGGCGTGGAATCCCAAGTGCTGGGATTACTTTTGTATGAGCTCTGTTTCTTTTTTAGATAGATTCAACCTTGCGTAGCCCAGGGTGGCCTTGAACTCACAGAGATCCAACTGCTTCTGTTTTCTGAACCCTGGGATTAAAAGTGTGTGCCACCACCATTCCCTGGCCTGTATGGCTGATGGGTATGGCTGCTTTTCCCTCTTATCTTCAGGCAAGCTTTATTTATTAAAACACTAATATACCACTATAATTTGATGTAGACCCATGCAGGCAGGCCTTTGCATACTGCCTCAGTCTCTGTGAGTTTATATTGTATTGGTCCTGCTGTGTTTAGAATTCTTGTTTCTTTGATATCCTTTATCCCCTCTGGCTCTTACACTCCTCTCTGCAGGGTTCCCCTGAGCTCTGAGGGGGGGGGAATTTTAGGGAGACACCCCTTTTTAGTATTCTGACGTCTCCCACTCTCTGCTTATAGTCTGGACGTAGGTCTCTGTATTTATTCCCCTTTTTTTTGCCTGAGGAAATTTCTTTGATGATGGATGAGCAAGCTACTGATCTAAGAGTATAGTAGAATGCCAGTAGGGGTTATTTTGGTTTTAATTTTTCCTTAGGTCCCTGGTTTCAAGTTTTTCATAACTCAAGCAGTATTGGATATGGGTTCCATCTCATGGAGTGGGCCTTAAAACAAATTACTATTTCTTACCCACAGATGGACTGATACCTAAGTTGATTCCATGACTTGACTGGTATGTGGAGTGGCTGTGACTAAAACAGTTTCTTGTGGCTTGAGTGGCATCCATCACAGTTGTGTTGTCAACTTGGAAGGAAACCTCTTGGAGTGCTCTGCTGTGTGAAGCCTCCTTCTTGTATTGGTCCCTGAGCAGCCATAACATTTCTCTGTACAGCTCCAGAAACTCCAAGGAAGTGGCTGCTTGATTGAAAGCTCCCACATATTTTGCAGAATGGCATGGCTGAAGATGTGTGTGCTGCCAATGAAGTATACCTTTAAGCATGGTAGAAGTATCATGCAGAGTCCCACTGTACTTAGGAACCACAGACAGCAGAGTTGGCTCATTTCTGGTTCACATCTTTGCCCTATCTGGTATAGTTACTTGGTTTTGTTCCCCACGGCTTCCAAAGGGACAGGGAAAGGATTGACAGATTTGAGTCAGCCAGCCCAACAATTCATGCCTAAGTAACTTCAGTCATTTAAGTAGGAAAACATCAAGGGCTGCTTACCATACAGATTTAACAAGAAATCAACATTCTTCAGTGGACTTTAGCTAATAATGCTTAACCCTTTGCAAAATACCATTTTGGAAGGTTGGGTATTCCTGATCTGTCTAAATAAACAAATGTGTGTAAGAAATATGCATGTAGTAGTCAGTATAAGCCTTTGTGTCTGTGTCTTGGAACACATTTCTTGTGGCTTGGTGAGTTTTGTATGTGGTTATTGTGTGCTGAATGTTTGAAGACTTTTAGAATTTTGCTTTTCAAAAATGTGGTCATTGGATGACATCATGGGCATCTTAGGAACTCACCAGAAAGACAGAATTCTTATTGTCAGTCCAGGAACTGCAGAGTTAAAGCCAGTGTTGGCACAGAATCCTAGGTAAAACATACAGTAAACTGATTTCCAAAGTGGTTGCACAAGTTTGCATTCCCACCAGCAATGGATGAGTGTTCCTCTTATTCCACATCCTCTCCAGCAAAGGCTATCATTGGTGTTTTTGATTTTAGCCATTCTTACAGGTGTAAGATGGTATCTCAAAGTTGTTTTCATTTGCATTTCCCTGATCGCTAAGGAGGTTGAGTGTCTTTTGGCCATTTGAACTTCTTCTGTTGAGAATTCTCTGTTCAGTTCAGTGCCCCATTTTTAATTAGGTTAATTAGCATTATAAAGTCTAGCTTCTTGAGTTCTTTATATATTTTGGAGATCAGACCTTTGTTTAATGCGGGGTTGGTGAAGATCTTCTCCCAATCAGTAGGTTGCCTCTTTGTCTTAATGACAATGTCCTTTGCTTTACAGAAGCATCTCAGTTTTAGGAGGTCCCATTTATTCAATGTTGCCCTTATTGTCTGTGCTACTGGGGTTATACGTAGGAAGTGGTCTCCTGTGCCTGAGCCTCCAAAGTTTTGGGATTATAGGCCTGGATACCATTCACAGAAATATTTACATTTTTTGAAAAATGAGTGTTCTGCCCTTGGAATCTCAGCTATTCAAGATGCTACAAGACAGTCACAAGTTTGAGGCCAGCCATGAACTGTTAAATGAGACCCTTTCTAACAAAAAGCAAAACAAACAAACAAAACCTTTATTTGATTTAGTTAACATTTTAATTATTATCTTAGTTAATAAGGAATTTTTCATTGAGGTGTATATATTACTGCTGTTCAAATATGCATAGTGAAAACTGTTTGAATTAATTAGTTTTAAATTCTAGGGAAACACTGCCAGGAAAGCAAGACCAGTAGAATGACTAGAATTCTTTTCTCTCTGCATGTGATGTATACAATAAATATGGGTTTGCATGCTCTTGTGTGCTTCTGTGGAGGCCAGAGCAGAATATTGTCTAATATTTTCCCTATGGGTCCCTGTCTACCATGTTGTCTTGACAGGGTTTTTCACTGAATCTGAAGCGCACAGTTTTGGCTAGGGTGCTGGCTGTCCATGGATCTTCTGGCTCTGTCCTCCAATGCTGTGGTTATAGGCATACATTGCCATGCTTGGAATTTTACGTGGATGCTGGGGATTTGAACTCAGGTCCTCATGCATGGATAACAAGTACTTCTACCCACTGATCCATCTCTCCAGTCTTGACTAAGGTTCTTAAAGATTGGTTTGTAACCTTTTAGTGCAGGTCTGGCATGGCATTCTGTGAAACTGTTGCCAGTATCATTTGAAGAAACTTGAGCATATGATTTCTATAAGCTATTAACAACTATTTATGAACTAGAATGCAACTAGTGTATAGTCAGGATGTTTTAGTTTCTAATACTTACCTTTCCTTGTTTCTTTCTTAATTAGGTCCCCGATGGGCTTCCTGGAATATTGGTGTGTTTATTTGCATCAGATGTGCTGGAATTCATAGAAATCTTGGGGTTCATATATCCAGGGTCAAGTCAGTCAATTTAGACCAATGGACGCCAGAACAGATACAGGTAAACATTACTTAAAAAGAAATTATTAAAAATGTATTTTGAATAACTTTAAAATACTTAATATTTCTTGTGTCTAAGGATTAATATTAAAATACATGCTGAAATGGCATATGTCATATTAAAATTTGAATTATTTCACTTATTAATTCACTGATGTTAATTTCCTGTTGAGTCTGTGGTAGTCAGTTTCAAATCCATTTTTCTTTCTTTTTTGTTCTCAAATGTTGATTTCACAGTATTTAAAAATGTTTTAATTGAGCTGGTGAAATTTGCCTCTATTAGTTTAATCCTGCCAGTAGAGGGAGTCTGAGTAAAGATAAGGGAAAACCCTCCTCTTGCCTGAAAACTGACTGAAGACTGTCTCTTCTGTCTAGAAGTGTTCCTGGGGTGCAGGAGGAGGCTAGTAGTAGATGACAGTCCAATGAGAAAGCGCTGTTGTGTCCAGTTTTGGTTTGTGGAGAGCAGTTAGCTTTGTCACAGATAAATTTACAATTGTATGAGTTTGCTGTTTTTCCATGGTGACAGTTCTAAATCTTTAAAGTCTTACTTTTTAATTCTTCAGGTTAGCCGCACATGTAAAAACAGTTACTTTTATTGGTCTTACTGATTTTTATTATGCCCTTTGAAATTGCCATTAAGACATTCTGAATATATCAATACACAGCCATCTTTTGGTATCACAAAAGATTATTTTCAGGATGCCTGCTAGATAGCCAAACCCACTGATGCTCGGGTGCTTTTAATAGGTGGAATAACATTTGCACATATATATCTATACACATTCTTGCACATGCTTGAAATCATTCCTTGTTACTTACAGTATTGGGTACCACTTAGATACCCTTAGATAAACTACTTGTTCAAGGAATAATGACAAGAAAAGGAAGTGAATGAACGCTCATGCATGCATGCAAACAATAATAGAATGTTTTGTACAGATGTGGTTTTCCCTCCTATTTTCAGTCTGTAGTTGATAAAAAGCTTCAGATGCAGAGCTCAAAGATACAGAGGACAATGGTATTTGGGGGACTTCAGCAATACACGGGCATACCTCAGAATTAGAAAAAATACACCTACTTGGTTATGGGCTATGGTAACAGAATTTGTAAAGACCTTTAGACTATAAAGTCAAGTATAGTTGATTTAGTTCTGTCTTAAAATTAGCTTCTGAAGTTATTGTTGGTAAAGGACATACAAGCAAATATTATTCTTTGAGTATTTTCAAAACCTCGGGGGAGAAACCGTACAAATTAGATCAGAGAAGGAGAACTTTTGAATACTTCATATGAGACAGTGTTCTTACTAGCATCTCTGTAGCAGATGTGGTAACTAAATGATATGCTCTTTCTCAAGAAAGAATGATGAGTAGATTAAATATTTAAATTGCATTTGTAAACACTTACAGAGGATAAAAATTGAAGACAAAGGATGTGTACTTTTTAATGGCTCATTTTAAACCAAGGAGAAGACATTAGACACTCTGGTTCTTTGGAAATATTTTAATAAAGACCACTGAGAGAATTTGAATAACAGATTATCTGAGGCAGGTAGTTGTACATTTTAGAGCATAATTTTCCCATCAGAACTATAGTTAACTGGTTTTTGTGAAATAGATAAAGGTACTTGGCAGCATACTGACATTTTAAGAAATTAGGAATTTTAAAAACAAATTATATACAATATTTGAAACATATTTGAACATATTCATTAACAGGTGTTACCTGTCAACTTCTTGAAGTAAGAATCATTATGGATGTAAGACTTTGTAATTGTTTGTCACCAGTGAATACTCTGTATGGCCCGTAGTCCGCAGAGCTCTTCTTCCTACTGTGCCTGGGTGAGAAGTAAGGCTAGGATGTTCTTGGGAATCCAGCGATAAGCAGTTGTTTTACTTTAGAACATAGTCACATAAACAGGTGGCAATCTAGCACTTTGTGGTGGGCTCTGCAGGTACTTGTAAGCCATATGAAGTAGTTACTGTTGTTTTTAAAAGTACTTTCTGAGCTAGTCAAATTAAAACAAGTTAAGTTGTCATTGATAATGCTGAGTTTTCCAGGCTGTGTTTTGTTCAATCTATGTTTTGGCTTAGAATATTTCAAGGCAAGTTGATTCCAGGAAGGCAGTAGAACAAAATCATTAAGACAGACTGCCAAGGTTAGACTTGTATGGTTTCCCAGGCTATTTGATTTCAGGAGGCATCAATGTTCTATTTGTATAATAAGAGTAATATTGTCTGCTTTGTAGGGAGAATCAAATGAGTGAGAATGGGCGAAACATGAGCTAGTATAGTATCTGACACATTTTAAACAAGCCATAAATGCTAATAAATTATTATTAATAGTATCCGGTTCATTTATACATTATATAAAACCCTCAGCATTGTTACCATGAAATATCTCAAGCAGTTTAGCATCTTTCTGATAGATTGTGATGAGTTGGTTTCTAAATTTACTGCTGAGGGTTAATTATTCTGTATTATTGAATATTAAGAAATTTCTCTTTGAGAGTACTAGCCCAAAATAGTAATTTCATTTATAATGGTTAATCTTGATTGTCAGCTTTACTAGGATTTAGAATTACCATGGTAACAAAACTGGGCATCTCTTTGAGGGATTATTTAGATTAGGTTAATTGAAGTCGAAAGACCCACCCTAAATGGATTGCATCATTCTACGGACTGGGGTCACTCTTTCTGAATAGAAAGGAGAAAGTGAACTGACTTCAGACTCTTGAGACATCTGAGAGACTCTTGACTACATACTGCCTCCTGCTCTTGCTGCCATACTGTCCTTGAATATATCACCTAGAACTATAACCCAAGATAAACGTGTCTTTCCTTAAGTTATTTATGCCCATCATTTTGTCACAACAAGGAGATAAGGAACTAATACAGATGGCAAGGCATTTTGATACAACAGGCGTGAGCCACCATGACTGACAACTTTTAACTTTTCTTTTAAGGTAGCCTTGTTCTTTTATTTTACACACCTCTCTCCTTAGTGATCTTCATATCGTATTTAAAAGCAAGGTTACTTGCTTTCTGTGACTTTCTTGTTCTGCCTCTCTTACTTTTATATTTCCCCCTATATCTCTGTTACTCCTGCCTTGCAGAATTTTGAGCCCATTCCTAGAAATACTTTCTCCTGTTGTGGAGCTCTGTACTAGAAGCAAAGATGGAGGGTTTTTTTTGTGTGTGTGTGTGTGTGTGTGTATGTGTGTGTGTGTATGTACTCTTTCTCCTAGTCTAAACATAAGGACCCCTTTGCACATGTTACTGGATGGTGTAAAAAATCCTTTCCAATAATAAGTGCTTTTCTCTAAATATTTTTCATTTCCAGTTTATATTTTTTCCCTAGTTTTGATTTAACGTCTATTAGTTGTAGGTGTCAGGCAGATCTAGTGGTTGTTAGTAGTTTGTCCCTTTTGGATTGAGTTTGAATTTTACGGGGATAAGCAGTCAGACAATTTTGTTATAAATATTACCCATAGACTTCAGATTTTTGTGTTGTATTGGGGTGTCTGTGTGCTTGTATTCGAGCCTATGTATATAGAGACAAAAGAAAAACGGTGGATGTCCTTTTTTAGTTTTTTGTTTTTGTTTTTGTTTTTGTTTTTTGAGACAGGGTATCTCTCTGTAGCTTTGGAGCCTGTCCTGGAACTAGCTCTTGTCGACCAGCTGGCCTAGAACTCACAGAAATCCACCTTCCTCTGCCTCCCAAGTGCTGGGTTTAAAGACGTGTGCCACCACCGCCAGGCCTAGCATTGGGCTTTTTATTTGTGCTAGCCCATGTTATTTAGTAGGGGTATTGTCAGCCCATTATGGAATAAGTCCACTTACACTCTTTTTTATATGTGTGTATGCATTTTAGGAAGCTTGTACAGACTTGAAGGTCTTTAGTGTTAGTTATCCCTCTTTACCCTGCAACCCATACTCCAATTTAACCCTTTCTGTTCATTCATTCTTCTTTTTTTCCTTTATTCTACTGTGTTCTATCTCACTTCTTTTAACAGTCCCCTCCCCACACTGTGGCCCCTTACTGATTCATGACCTCTATGAAATACACATAACATATGTGAAGATTCAAAGTTAACATCCTGAAGTGAACGAAAGCATATGATGTTTGTTGTTCTGAGTCAAGGTTACCTTGCTCAGGATGGTTGTTTGTAGATTCTTCCATTTACTTGTGAATTTCTTAACTTCATTTTTCTTATTAACAGCTGAATAATAGTCCATTGTGTACCATATTTTTGTTACCCTTTCATCAACTGATGGACATCTAGGTCATTCCTGTTTCCTGGCTATTGTGAATAGAACAGCAGTGCAAATGGATGAGCAAGTATCTCTTTGGTAGGATATAGAATCCTTTGGTTTATATGCAGGATTGGTATAGTTGTGTCATATAGTAGATCTGTATCTTGTTTTTTGAGAAACCAACACTGATTTCCATGTTAGCCACACCAGTTTGTACTCCTACCAGCAGTGACTAAATGTTACCCTGTAGACTTCCAAACATTATAGGTTATTGTTGATGTGCTTCTCCAAAATTTGATGGTAAGACCCTGAAGATACCTCTTAGAACATTGAGAGATCAAGGTGGTACTCACCTGGGAGCTTCATTCCACTGGCTAGCTTTCACAGTGCTGCAAGGTGGTTCCCATGCTACTAGAGGAGAAAAATAGTCATCAGCTTTACCCCGCTGTGACTCCTGAGAGCTATAGTAACAATCAGCCTGTCAACACATGCCCACCAGTGCATGGGAGTAACCAGCTGCTTTCTGATTGGATGTAAAGCCTGCTCCACAAAATGAAACTGATATCTGACATCACTATGGGTTCAAGAACCTGTAGCTAGGCTTTAGGGGAAAACCAACTACTATTATTCTGCTAAATGGGTATAGTATTAAAACAAATCTTAATGACTTACTGTTGTACACTTAGATTAGTGTACCTCTCAGCCATCATCAGAGATGCTTCTTTTTGTGGTGGACAGTGATTAATAA